TTCCATCTGCGGCTGGAAGCATCCATCAATGAGGGTACCAAACTCATCTGTAACTTAGTGAGTTCACAAAAAAAGACCAAAAGAAGTTAAAACTAAAGAACAGCAGAGGTCATTCACAGAGTGGATAATCAAGGTCTATCAACCAAGCACCAGAAATAGCACCAGAAATGATTGCTCTGAATCACACAGTACGAAATGTAAAAGGGAAGTTTAAAATAAATTGTAGCTGGGATTAACAGGGGTGAGCCACCAGCACCCAACAAAAACAGTTCCACTGGAGAGAAGATTCTCATGGACTTTCCTTCCTGGGCTAGCTTTGAACCGTGATCCTAGGAGAACATGAGACTCTTCTCTACAGAAGTGGAGCTGTGACTCAAGGGACAGCACCCAGGTCATGAGTTCAAGTCCCGAGACCAACACACACACACACACACACACACACACACACACACACAAATTGTTTTTGTCAGGTACTGTTTTTAAGTATTAAAACTAAATTGTATTATTGTCCACCACACACTGTATTACTTGAATTTCTCTATGCAACAGATGAGGGAAACCGAGACAGCATGATTAAGCAACCTGCGCCAGGGCACACAGCTATAAGGCTAATTCTCAACCTCAGACAGGCAGATAAGTCTGCTAAGAGCCACCAGTCTGTTCTGCCCACCTAATCAAGCCCCTCACTCATAGACCGAGATCTAGAGAAGTCAAGTCAGTGGCTAAATTCAATCCCCAGATTATGGCCTGCTTCAAAACCCTTATACCGCCCTTACAAACAGAAGAGACTGGGCACGCGTCATATGCAAGGGAAGGCTGCCACATTCCCATTTTCCATCTCCAGCACACAGGCAGACAACTCCGCAGGTGACAACAGCCGGTAATCCTAATGGAGCATAAATCTTATAACCTCAGTGAAGCGTAAATCAGATCACAGTTCTAAGACAAGACACATTAAATAGGTTTTGAAGTTTATTAAAATAAAGTATTAGCAAACAATATGCAAAAACAAGTTTCTTAAGAGTTATGGCTTTGATAAGCACATGAGAGTAAAACCTAATTAACACAATTTTATAAGTATCAAAAAAGATGAACAGGATCGAGGCATGGTGCTAGAATCGCATTTTCCACAGCATAACCTGAAGCGAAGCACGAGTCAGAGGCGGACAGGCCCACAGTACAGCCGTCAGACTGGTCTTCAACGTGTGTAATGGGAGATTCCTTTCGAGAGAACAGGGCCAGGGGTGTGGGAACCGTGTCTCCCATGGAGGCAACCCTAGTCGAACTTAAGTCCACTTCTAACCGCAGCTTGCAGCAGCCAGACTCGGAAGATCGCCACATGCCCAACCACTGCCCGGAGCCCCCACGGTGAAACCACTACCAGGGTAAATCAAAGTGCCAGCATTCCGACGGCACTGCGTGGGAAATCTGACACTGAACGCCTTCTTCATCTACAATTAGGCTGGCATTCTTGGGCCTAAGTGGGGTTTTGCTCTAGCTAATGCCAGCTAGTGTTAAGAAGGCATTACCTATTAATGGGGGAGAGGTGTGTACAGGGGATCTACCCCTACACAAAATTCTGAACTTTCTACAAACAGCAACTTCAAATGTACCCTTTTAGGATAATGGCTCGTGATAATTTAAAAAAATTTAAGAACTGAGTTATTTAGACACAAAGCTTTTCCACTCCACCATGAATGATGAAAGAATTCTGTTCTAGATCTTTCTGACAAAACACTAAGACTTAATGTACAGTAGTAGAAATTGCTACTAGCAAATATTATCACGTTTTTCTTTTAAAACAACAAAATGAATGCATAAAATTTCCACTGCATCTAATTTTGGAGTGCTATGTAATAATGATCATACAGTTTTATTTGGGGAGAAAAGCTCTCTGTGTGTGTGTGTGCACGCGCGCGTGCTTCAAGCGTGGCAGGGCAAGTACTCTACACACAGTTACAGCCACAGCTAAGGAGATGAGTTTCTTTCATGAATAATCCAATCAAATAAAGGCTTGATAAATACTGTTACCTTCTGTAAGGAGGTAAAACATCCACCTCAGAACATGCTTAAACTCAACTACGACTTTTGTTTATGTAGAACAAATGGCTTAAATGCTTACTTTCCATACATGCACTTTTGTGGTAAGGAAAACATCCAAGAATCTCACTTTCATCCATGAATACTGTTGCTTTGGGAATGAGAGATACCCTCCAAAAAACCCACCCCTTTGAAAGCGACCACTTTGGAAGAATCTCTTGCATAAAAATCACCCAACACTTCTAAAACCACCAAGCCTAAAAGCTACTTGCTCATCTAGCCAATAGGTGTACTGAGGACATACTTTATGGTCAAATGCCAAACATCAAGGACTCTGAGCTCTTCAAAGCTAACGGGTTCACAATTTAAGTCATCATGAGAGGTTGCATTCAATAATTATCAAGATTCTACTTTTCTCAGGAAGCAAGAAGGATAGTATGAGAGGAAAGTGACAATAACCTAGAATACTAGGAAGCAAATTACTAGAAGCAGAATTGCACTGCAGCAGGAACTACCAAACTTTGTCTCTGCTACAGGTAGGGTTTCATTATTTTCTAGAATCTTTCTCCTCCAAAAGGATACTGCGTGTAGGGAAGAAACTTCCCCCTCGGGTATTATAGGGTTTTTTGGTTTGTATTTTTTTTTTAAGGCAAGCCTAATTGTTAACTTAAGGGTTGAATACTTACCAGTCATAACCAAATGGACGTTTTACTCTTCAAAGACACAAAGAATATGAAACAGTACTCCCTCTGTCTGGACTAGCAGGTGTGGCATGCTGAATTGTCTATCTAGTGATCATTCCTGGAATACCCTCAGCCACCTGCTACCACCACCACCACTGTTGTCATGAAAAAAAAAAAGGGGAGGGGGGATACACTGGTATGCATATACTTGATATATTTGACATGCTTACTGGTATTTTCCCTTAAATTTCCTAGAAAGTGCCCATTTTACTCAGATGCTTTAGCTTGTATTCAATAGCTCCTCCCAACTCAGCCTCACACTCTCACTCAGCTTTTTTTGCTCAGTTTGTGTGCTACCACTTTGGATCACAATCCTCCTATCTGAGCCTGTGGAGCTAGGATTACGGGTATGAGCCATGAGCACCCAGCAACGCTCCATCATGCTCGCCAGACGGTCTCAAGCGGACTGAGCGCTCTATAATGTAGAGCTGTTCATCCAATGCACCTCAAGTGCAATCAACATCACCTTGGTTGCTTCAGCTTGTTACTGAGATGCATTTTGAGTCTATTCTGCTTTCTGCATTTACCAAACTAGTTTCGAGTTTCTTATTCAGATACTTTTTGCTGGCACACATTAATTTCTATGCTGTAAAATATCCTTAGGGATTGCAAGAGCAGCTGAGTGAAGAACGTTTTGCATTAAAAGCCACAGGATGAAGCGGACAGTGCTCAGGAAGCAAAAACAGGCTTGTACTTCTCCACAAAACTCTTGGCAGTTAAAACTTCCTTAGAGAAAACAGAAAAGGGCAATCGCATAAAGCCCATCAGCCAACTCAACTTTACAGGCTGTAATATGGTAATGACAAGTAGAACAATTCTTAACACAATGCTAAACCATCAATGAAGCAAGGTGGGAGATTCTACAGCTAACCAGAGCCCACTGACGTAGATTATATGCATCTGTAATTGGACTTGAGTGAATTTTTCCTACAGATCCGTTCCAAAGATGGTGCCGTGAGTCTGTTAAGTGAAGGATGATACAAAAACTAAATATAAAAATATGTAGGTTTGATCACTAAGTAAGTAATTCTGTTTCATGTAGACGGCAGAAAGCTCTGGCGATCTAAGAATACTTGCCATGTAACACTTACGTTTAAGGCTGTGGTGCTGGCAAAGTTTTCCTTCTACTCAGCAAAGGACTGCGAGCTGAAACCCGAATGGCCGCATTGGGAAACAGCAATACATAACGACACAGACAACAAAAGGAGTCCCATAACCCTTGCCTGAAAAACAAACCTTTTTTTTTTTTCCTTAAAGCAGGAAGGACAAGTAGAAAGTCACACCAAAATTACATTTTTAACACAAGACGGTCATGGCTCCACATACTTTCAAAAGGCACCAGAAAAGAAAGTTTCTCCTGATTGGTGAAGTAGGTGGGCCGTGTTCCCATGCCTTGACTAGGCGCCCACCTGATGCTCTCCAGAATAAGCGGTTAAAATGCCTAGACTCAAAGGCAAAGGCACAAATGGTTAAATGGGTATTTCAGACTTCCCTTAGCTTTCAGGAGACTGCGTTGGGGGACACTGGCATGGGTATAGGTAGTAAGAGGCCAGGAAAAAACAAGACCACGCAAGGTGAGAGTCCATCTGCATTCTCTGCTTTGTGAATGTGTTCACAGCAGCTAGCCCAACCGTCCCTGCTGATCTATCTCATTCCTGGGGCCTAACCAGGGTCTCCCATGACACAGGAGGCTGACGTAAGGTGGTATGAAGTTAATAACATCCAAAACTAGGCACCTTAGCTGGAACTGTATGATAACGATTTTATAACCTAGGCTGAAAAGTTACTAGAAAAAGCAGAACTTCCTACAACTGCCGTGTAGGTCACTTGAGCGTATCTGAGCAAAGGTTACACTGAAAACTGTCGCCCATAAAAGTGCAAAATAAAAGGTTAATGCATGTCACAAGTAGAGTTCTTCCCACACAGGCCAAGAGCGGCAAACGCGGCTGCCAGCCGTGTACTGTCGCTTGCTACAAAGCAGTGTACTCAGGACAGACTGAGTACGTGGCATATATTACACATCAATTACTTGCAGGATTTTCTTTTTTTAAAAAAAAAACAAAATGCTTTACAAAAGATACATAGCATGAATCACAATACAGACCAACATTCAGTTAGGTTAGATGCAAATTGTATGACGCCACCTAGAAAACTATCACTTGGCTTTTACTGGACACTACTTGTTAGAAGCAGTGCATAGTGTTCCTTCAAATAAGATTTTTTTTTATATATAGTTTCTTTTAAGCCCCTACCATACTCTTTTGCAAAACAAAGTACAATACATTTTTATGAAGTTGGTGGGATACATTATTAGAAGCACATAGGTTCCGGGAGACGGAGAGAAAAGGGAGGACAAATACACTTTTCCCCATGTATATACCCTCTTACACTATAATTTTTTTGTTACATTAAAAAAAAATTAGGAAATAAAAAACTGTTGGGACAATAAGCAATAGCCTGTTCCAGTTCATGTTCGGAGTGGGCAGGACGCTTGCTCCGTGCCTCCCCCACGCCCTCCAGTCCACTACGTGAACAGCGATACAAACAAATGCAGAATCGTCACAAAGTACAAATGTGTTGGTCACAAGTTTGTAGAAAAAAAATAAGCTGTAATATCTGTTTTTCCATGTCAGCTCACAGTATCTCTAAAATTAAACAAGTCCACAAGGAACCTAATTGAAAAGAAGAAGGCTTCTGCACTATGAGACAGAAGATATGGGGTTCAGAGGAGAGCCCATCTGCGTAAGGACTTTATCCAGCCACTGAAGAGGCCCGTGAAGGTGGATCTCGATCCAACAGGGAGTGCTGGTAACGTCCTGCCGGTGGTACTCGGCACCCCAGCCCTGTGAAGAGGAAAGACACCACATTGCCAACTGGTCTGAACTAACTTTGACAATGCAAAGACAGTGCAACCATACTAAGATGCAGAACACAGGTAGATAGAGTAACTCTCACAACACTCAGCATTTACTCTGCAATCAAAATCAAGACAAGCCCGGCCTGAGCGGTCCACGCCTGCCATCCTAGCTACTCAGGAGGATAAGAATTGAGGATCCTGGTTCAAAGCAAGCCTGGGCAGGACTGTGAGACTCTTATCTCCAATTAACCACCAGAAAACCAGAAGTGGCTCAAAGTAGTCGAGCACTAGACTTAAAAAGAGCTCAAGGACAGTGCTCAGGCCCTAATTTCAAGCCCCTGAACAACCAAGAGAGAGAGAGAGAAAGAGGGGGAGGGAGGGAGGAAGGGAGGGAGGGAAAGGAAAGGAAAGGAAAGGAAAGGAAAGGAAAGGAAAGGAAAGGAAAGGAAAGGAAAGGAAAGGAAGAGAAGATAATGACATTCCTGATTGGGTTTTTGTTTTTTTTTTTTGCCAGTCCTGGGGCCTGAACTCAGGGCCTGGGCACTGCCCCTGAGCTTCTTTTTTTTTTTTTTTTAAGGCTAGCACTCTACCACTTGAGCCACAGCGCCACTTCCAGCTTTTTCTGTTTATGTGGTGCTGAAGAATCGAACCCAGGGCTTTATGCATGCTAGGCAAGCACTCTACCACTGCCACCTTCCCAGCCCTAAAATTTAAACATCTATTATTTACCTGATAGAAACCTGTGGGATTAGATATGTTTCCGACCTACTCTTTCAAGTTTAGAAAGGGCATATACTATAATATTTAAAAAACATTCTCATTTACTAGGACACATAAAACTCACCATCACCAACAGTGATGTTATATAACTTCATGTAGATTTCGGTTTGTTTTTTTGTTATTTGGCCTGCTTCTTATGTCTATCAGAGAAGCTACTGTACACACTGACCAATGTGTGCACCTAAACTTTATTGTAACCACAGACATTACCTTTAAAGGTAGGAAATCAATAAGAAGAAATAATGAAAACATTAGTGTAGGCCTCAGATAAAAAACAGAAAGAGCCATTTTTTATGTTCGTTTTCTTGAGTTAAATTTTCTGTCTTACTGCCTATATATATGTCCAGGAAAATTAGAGGGTCAAGAAGGGAGGGAGAGAAATGGACAAGACAGAGAAGGTGGGGTGGACGGTATGCTAACTATGGAAGCACCATGATTCTATAGACGTGTGCAACGCCCCCAGGGAAGCTGATACACTGATATGCACAACAGACCCCACTGGACGGGGACCACACCTGAGAAGGATGGCGTGCGACCGCTGAATAGTTAAGAGCCTTAGTCATGGAATAATGTGCAAGTGTTGTTCATGAGCCATAATCTTTGACGTTTTCAATAAAATCAGGCCAAAAAAAGCAAATTATAAAGCCGGGCACTGGTGGCTCATGCCTGTCATCCTAGCTACTCAGGAGGTTGAGATCTGAGGATCATGGTTCAAAGCCAGTCTGGGTAGTTAAGTCCATGAGACTCTTATCTCCAATAAACCACTCAGAAAACCGGAAGTGGCGCTGTGGCTCAAGTGGTAGAGCGCTTGCCTTGAGCTGAAGAGCTCAGGGACAGCGCCCAAGCCCAGAGTTCAAGCCTCACGGCTGACAAAAAAGAAAAAAGCAAAATATAGAGATGGCCTTTGAAAATTCTCCACAACAGAGCGTAGATACAAGTAATTGTAGTACAAAGTAATTCTAGTATTCTAAGTAATTCTAATAACCAAAACTGTGGAAGCGAAGGGACTCAAAAAGCAATTATAATATTAGATGACTTCTAAGTGAAATGCTATGTAAACTTAATCTTTATCCAATATAGAAACCTCAATCGATGATGTAATTTATGGATAACAAAATGAACAGATCTATTACATGACTTAAACGATCAACTCAAGAATTTCACTTGAAAAAAACTATTAAATCAGGCCAAAAGTCATGATCATCTTGCACTCAAAAGTTTTTAATTACAACCATAGACATACAAAGTTACAGAGCCAGAGATGCCGTCTTGGGCCACAGCCCACTCACCTTGACAAAACTCATCCGGATGGTGCACATTTTGGTGAGCTCGTACACGGCCTCAAAGCCATGGTTGACGGACTGAGCCAGGAGCTGAGCGAACTCCTGGTTGTTGAAGATCTTGAGGCTGCAGCTGCTGGGGATCTTACAGACGGTGGTGGGGTGGAAGCCGTGGTGGAAGTTGCAGTTCCGACTCTGCACAAAGATGCTGCTGTCGCTCAGACACTCTGCGTACACCTCCCCGCCAACGTAGTACAGATGGACGCCTGGAAGAGAAGAGCCAGGTCAGTCGGCCAGCCCAGCCAAGGACACCGACTTCCCACAGCCAGATGGAAGGTCCTGTGACATGTCCTTCCACTAAAAACCATCAGAAGGAGTCAGTGCCGGCCCAAATCTGAGCCCATCCTCAACCAGCCAGGAGGGAGCCTCAAGGTGGCGGTTTATTAGGTTTGTCCACTCACTCTCAGGTGCCTTTCCTATACCTAAGCACTTAGCTTAATCAAAGAGGTGGGGCGGGAATCAGGAGGCTCATGCCTGTAATCTTAGCTCCTCAGAAGGCTGAGATCTGAGGATCACAGTTCAAAGCCAGCCCAGGCAGGAAAGTCCATGAGACTCTAATGAGCCCCCAGAAAACCAGAAGTGGCACTGTGGCTCAACTGGTAGAGCGCTTGCCTTGAGCTGAAGAACTCCAGGACAGTTCCAAGCCCCACCACTGACCAAAAAAAAAACCCCACCAATTGCCTTTTGCTGAGTCCTTTCAAAGCTATGCTCGGTGCTACACCCTAAGGCTTGGGCTCTCACTTAGCTTTTTTTTGCTCAGGGCGGGCACTCTACAATTGAGTTATGTTTTCAGTCCAGCATTTTGCTGTTATGGTTTGGAAATGGAATCTCAAGAATGCTTCTGCAGAGCTGGCCTCAAACTGTGGTCCTCCAGGTCTCAGCCTCCTGCGTAGCAAGGATGATAGGTGTGAACCACCAAGCACAGGGCACAAACTGTTGTTTTATGGACTTCTCGCTAACAAAGAGGGCAGCAGAATTTCAGACAAAAACAAATGGTACAAATGTAGTTTCAAGCCACGGAAAAAAGCTTTTAAAATGCAGGCTTATCTTTCTTTAAAAGTCTTTTTAAATATTTAAAACATGGATATAAATATGTCAAAGCTGTAAGCATGTTGACAGGGGTGACACTGATCAGGATGCATGCTATACCCGCACTGCTTTGTTAATAACAACACCTTTGTATCATTACCTAAAGATAATAAAATGTTCAGAAACATGTGAAAGCAGTTCCTACAGTAAAATTCAGACTGCGTGTGTAAAGAGGAAGTCACCTAGTATTTTCCCCACAAGAAAATAGCATTCCACAATCATTTCAAATCTTCCCACCTTGAAGGTAGAAATCCCGGACGATTTGGTGCATAACCCCTTTTAAATCCTTTCACTGAAATTTAATTGTACATATATGTATTCCTACAGAATATCTTTTGTGTAGTTTTGCATGGAAATGGGTGTTTTGCTTTATTTCTTTTAACATAAATGACATCACAGTCTATTAACTAGAAACTTGTTCTGTCTCCTTAATTCTTGCCAGAGTTTACAAAACTTCAAAATATAAATCTGCCACTGTACCTATATTCTGAGTGGTGCATATAATTCTGAAATGGACATGCTTAATTCCTTTCCTATCTATTCATGAACAACCTCCCACTACAGCAAGCAGTGCTTGTCAACAGCATTCCAGTACACAGACCTCTGTGCCCACTGAAGTTGCAGAGTTAGTTCTACCAGGCTAGTCTGTCTGACATTGAAAAACTGCCTCACTTCTAAATGAAAATGGGCCAGATCAAAAGGACCCTAGGATGGCAAATTGGGAAATAAGGCTGTCAAGTCACGCAAAAAGCAGCAAGGGGAAACCTAAAACTTCTGAAGAAAGAAGCAATATATTCTACGTGGGCAAGGTTTCCTCTGACACATGAGATTTGGCATGCATTGCAGTACAAAAAGGGTTGCTTCTTGTAGGAAGAATTACCACCGAACCTTGTGACCTGAATTTAAAAGACAAGAGGATGGTGGTGAAGCCCAAGATCTGTCATTCACACTGGATTTCCTACCTCTACTTCCTTCGTGCCATTCTACCCCTTCTACCTAGGGTAATTCTGACAAGTCACCCCAAACACTTCACAAACACTGCAATGACAAACTTCTAATGCTTCACCAGCACCCACACATTCCAGAGGTATCTGTTGTGCGTCTTATGAGCCAGGCACTATTCTAGCTCCTGACTGCCGCCAGCTTCAATTCCAGCAGGGACAACACTCAAAAATCAGCGGAGGCCATGCCTTAAGATCCTTTGTATGTTTCCAGCACCTTCCACAATGCCTGATAAAACGCACCTCATGACTAATTCAACTGGACATAGAGATTACCTTTCCCAATATGGCGCCTCGTGTTTTCAATGGTCGAATTACGATTGACATTTGACAACAATCCCAAGCAGAATCTGCTTTTGTTATTGGAAGGGTCTGTGAATCCATCTACCAGCACACTGGTAGAAGATGCGTGAAAAGCTTCCCCGACGCGGTTGTTTAATTCATAGTAAACAATTGAACACCAATGTTTGGGTTCTTCATAGGCAACAGGCTGGACATCTGTGAAGAGACCAAAGAGAAAACAAGTTTAATCAATGATTTATCAGAAACTCTGGGTTCATTGTGTATTTACCCTTTAGCCTAACCAAAACACTATGTGAAACAGGATATAGGTATTTCTACTGACTGTCTTAGAAACAAGCTTAAATTATGACAACTTAAGACAGTTATAGAAATTCAAGGCGACTGTCCTAACCTGCTCGGGGTTTGACATTGAGTGGCTTAAAATTTTAAATTATTTCTCAAAATTCTAGAGGTGGTGATGTCAACATGAAGTTCAGCAGATCTCAGAACTCTAGTGAGTTCACTCTCATGTGCTCAGCCAAAGCTGCCGGCCTTTCCAACACCAGATCACCACCCACTCACACTGGGGTGAGGGCTTCGGCACTAAGTTCAGGAGGCGCAATGTGGTCCATTGGCATTTCACTTTGGCCTCCCAATATTCAAGTCCTTAGCACACACAAACATAGGTACATTCCACCCCTGAAGTCTTAACTCATTCCAGTGAGAGCTATCAAGTTTGAAATCTAGAACTATTCACCCAGCAACAGGTGAGCCGAAGACAAAAATGCCAAGGGAAAATTCTTCTACGGTCACAACTTGTGAAACTCTGTAAGTGACGCACAGTGGGGAGCTGCAAACTCCAGGCTCCAGGCACCCCTACCTCCACGGCAGTATCCGGCTAGCTGAAACCGGACATGCACCCCAATGAGCTCAGAATCCCTTCACACCAGATAGGCTCACTGTCCTGTCTTACGGAATTGAGGACGTCTAGCAGCCTTGACCCTGCCCTGTCCTTAGGGGTGAAATCAGCCATGCCCCCGCTGGAGTGACAAGCCGGCTCATGGCCACGCCCACGCTACCCTCACTTGCACGTGGCAGGCGAGCAAACCCCCGACACTCCATCCTTGGACACCACTCGGCCTTCACAGTAAGGTGAACCTTCCCAATCTTTAAGTTCTGATTCTGTTTTGCTTAAATGGTTCCTTCTTCCATTCATTTCTCTCCTTATTGTACCAGGAGCAGTCAGGCAGCGGGCTGTACCATCAATATCACGTAAGAACCTGCTGGGCGCCAATTCCATGGCCCCAAAGTTCTAGCTCACACAAAGCGCTGAACATGAACAGAACTCAGCCAAGTTTTTGTTTGTTTGTTTTGCTTTCTAACAAAGATACCTTTTTTGTTGTTTTCCTAGAACATGCTACTCATTTAACTCTGAAACCTCAAAATAAAAAATACATAAACCTTAATATCCATCCTTATTTCTACTCACAATTACATAATATTTCACAGAAGCTTTCTTTACCAGTCTCCTCTTACTTCTGGGCCCTCAACAGAATCACAGCAAGTCTGCCTTTTTCTAGTATAAACCTCAAACTTCCTTCAGGCCCTACTCATTACTTAGTTTCCAAGCTATGTAAGAGCAGCATCCCATTTTTAGTTACCAATTTCTAAGTTGGTACAGGTTGCTGAAACAACAGAAATTTTCTTTCTCACAGCTCTGAAGTGTTTAAGAGCCAGCGATCCAATCCCTACACCCAGAAACAGACTGAAAAATCCACAGAGATGGGGACGGGGCTGTTGAAGTTCTGAGAAGCTACTGCAGTACAAGTGAATACTTCATTAAAGACGTCTTTTTAAAGTGGCCAAGGCTGGAGGTGGAGCTGAGTAGGAGAGCACGTGGGAAGCTCGGGATCCAATCCCTAGCACTACAAAAAAGTAAAGTAGGCAAGAAGGTGGAAGAAATGCAAGCAGAGTCAAAACCAGTACCTCGGCTGGATATGCTGGGCATGATCTGAGGAATCATGTTGCTGCTTGTGTCCATAGGCTGCGAGCTGTCCTGACTCAGCTGCTCATCGGGCGGCATGTAGGCAGGAGGAGGCGTATCAGCTGAAAGGAAGAAAATGACACAAGTTCAAGTCTCCAAAGAGCCCAGTCTTCAACTGCTCAAAGTGATTACTCTAATAGCATTATAAAAAAACAGTAACTCAAGTATCACCAGCAGGGCTTGTTGATGAACATTGGACACACACACATTGGACACAGTCCTAGGGCAAAACAGACAGCATACAGACAGCTCCTGAAACTTACAAGCCGTATTTATTTTGCCCAGATAGCTCCTACTACAGTGTAATAGGATCAGTACTAAAGCTCACTAATACTGGATTCAAGGTCAAGAATTCTGCCTTTGTGTTCAGAGAAACTGTAGCTACTGTAAAACGGATTATCTTTGTGTACCTACAAGTTATACAGGCCTTTTAAATCAAAGATCACCCCATACTATATAATCATTTTAAACCGAAGATAAAACAATGTCCCTTCAAAATCTGCCATCACACTAACGTGAACTGTGTAATTCTTTCACACTGACTCAAAATGGCGGCTGGGTTCCATTAAACAGCCAGGTAATTATAGCTCAGGAAACTGAGCTGAACATGAAATCTTTTGAGCTCCAACACTCTTTGCAAATTTTTGCAAAAGCACCTCTAGACTTTCTCCTACCTCAGTAACTAGAAAACCAAATATAAAATGTCTTTCACAGCAGAGTTTCAGGCTATATTTTGGGACGGTGCTATGACCAGCACTGAATTTAAAGCAGGACGAACATTTATGTTTGGGCAATTTCCATGAGCAAATTAAGCAGTTGGTATTTAATTTCCCTACTACTTCCAAATTGTAAACATATGTTACTTGGCAAAACAGGTCTGAACTCTTCTGGAAATCAAACAATCATGGAAAGGATACATAGTCGCACATAATGACCTCTTCTTGTGCAATGGCTCACCCAGGAGGATACAAGAATAACCGCTGACTCCCAGAGGTTCCTTTTAATTTACCTTTTCTTACTAGTTAAAGTCTTACCTGGGAGTTGAAATGGACTTCCGGGCCCAGAACTCGCAGGGGAGCTGGGATACGTGCTGCCAGCAGGGGAGGGAGGGTAGGGGCTATTCGGAGATAAGGGAAAAGGAGTGTTGTTGGGCTGGTGGAAAGAATCTGGAAACGTGGCATTCTGTGGCATGTGCGGTTCATTGTGGCTCAGATTCCTAAACTGAACCAGAAGGCTGTGTTGTGGATTGAATTCATTATGACGAGGCACTAGCACTGGAGGTAAGACTGAAAGAAAAAGAAAGCAGAAGTCATCCGTCAGGAGTGACCACAGTACACATCCCACCCACCAATAAGAGACTGGTACGGCCAGGCATGGTGGCTCACCTTTGTAATCCTAGCTACTCAAGAGGCCGAGATCAGGAGGATTATGATTCAAGACCAGCCCAGGTAAAAAGTTCACAAGACCCCATCTTAACAGAAAAAGCTGGGTGTGATAGGGTATGTCAGAAAACATCAACACTGCCAGCCAGGGCAAAAGCAAGACCCAATCTCAAAAAAAAAAAAAAAACAACCAAAGCGCCGGGTACCAGTGGCTCACGCCTATAATCCTAGCTACTCAGGAAGCTGAGATCTGAGGATCACGGTTCAAAGCCAGCTTGGGCAGGCTGAGACTTATCTCCAATAAATCACTCAGGAAACTGGAAGTGGCGCTGTGGCTCAGGTGGTAGAGTGCTCGCCTTGAGCTGAAGAGCTCAAGGACAGCGCCCAGGCCCAGAGTTCAAGTCCCACAACTGACCAAAAACAGAAAAACAACCAAAGCAGAAGAGGCTTGAGTGGTACAGTACTGGCTTCATAAAGGGCAACAACCCAAGTTCAAACCCCCGTACTACCGAAGAAAAAAAAGAGTTCATACAAAGGATTTATGTAAGACTACCCAACCTATAAAATAGGTTACTTTTAGGAAGGGTTGTTTTGTACAAACTTGAATCTGTATTTACATAACTAAACAAAATTTTATAAGCATTTAGCCTATATATGGAACTCTGAAAGACAGAAAATCCAGAGAAGATCCTATTCCTGCTCGATGGCTCATAAAGCCATATGAGGGGGAAAAAAAAATCACCAAGAATCAGATGTGGAGGCTCATACTTGTAATTCCAGAAGACATCAGAAGAATCATGGCCCAAGATCAGCTAGAGTGAAAAGATCGATGAGATCCCATCTAAAAAACAGGCCATGTACTAGGCACATTAGCTTAAAACGTAGAATCTTAGCTACTCAGGAGGAAAAGAACGAGGCATCACAGCTGGAAGGCAGCCGTGGCATAAAACTGTGCGAGCCTCTATCTCAGGCACTGGCTGGGCGCAGTGGAATCCATCCTAGCCGTACCGGTCGTCCCCAGCAACACAGCAAGTACAGCCCAGGCCTGCCCCGGCATAAAAGCAAGGCCCTACCTCAAAAATAACCAGGGTATAAAAGGGCCTGGATGTGTGGCTCAAGTGGTAAGAAAAACCCGCCGTGAAAGCCTGAGCCCTTGAGTCCGATCCCTTCCTCTCCCCACAAAATAAGGTGGGTGTAACTATGCACACTTGTCACTCCAGCTACGCTGGAGGCCCCAGGGAAGAGGATCACAGAGAATTTCATGTTTGGGAATTAAGGAGCAAGCACTGAGGCTGGGAATGTGGCTCCTGTGGCCAGTGTGCCTGCCTAACAAGTGTGAAAAAGCCCAGTTGGTTACCCCTTCACTCCCCAATATGTTAAGTATTCCTGCTAACAGGCAATCACACAGAATCACTGACATGTGGCTGCATCACCTTAAAGAACCAGCGCTTCCCATGACAGTGTAGGGGTGGGGAGAAGAAGGAGACAAAAAAGATCTGGCAGCTGGCCTAGGCAGTGAACTAGAGAGGGGCGTCGGGACTGGTTGTGTGGGCGCTCTGATAAAGTCACATTTCCAACCTTGAACGCATCCAGCATTCTTAGTAAGAATTTTTTAGTTAGGTTTGCCCCACTGAAAACAGTAATTATTTCCCATTCAAAATCAATCTTCTGAATATGATCAAAATGAAAATACGTACAACAATGTCTGCATATCTAAATAAGAACACTGCAAAAGATCAATTTTAACCATAATCAAATATTCACTTTCGCCTGCAGACCCAAGCGACATTCAGATCTCCAGAATTTTCAAACTCTTAATTTACCAATTATATTCCTTACAACTTCTCTGTATTTGTCAAAGCAATTACATTTCAGAGAAAAGAAAAAAATCCCGCTTTGATTCTGATGTCATCTGCACCAACAAAATCAAATTGTTTTTTCATCAACCAGGTCACGCTCCCTCTCCCAGAAGTAGAGGTAGCCACAAAAAACCGAGACCGTTCAGTTTGTACTGTACTGTTCATTTCATCTTACGGAGGTATATGGTTAACACCAACTACACGTTTTGTTCTGTGCTTTAGCCACTGCTCTTCCTCTTATGGAAAGGTGGAAGGATGCCACTGGAGAGGAAAGCACTGGAGAGGATTTGTTAGCTAGCTAGTAATCAGGAAACACTAAATGAAGTAAACTAAAGATTTCTTCTTTTAAAAAAAATACAGTCAGGGCTGGGAAGGTGGCTCAGTGGTAGAGCGCTTGCCTTGCATGCCTAAGGCCCTGGGTTCGATTCCTCAGAACCACATAAGCAAAAAGAAAAAAGTGGCGCTGTGGCTCAAGTGGTAGAGCGCTAGCCTTGAGCTGAAGAGCTGAGGGACAGCGCCCAGGCCCAGAGTTCAGGCCCCACGACCGGACCCAAAAGAAAAAAAATACAGTTAGCCTGCTGGCTGCTTGTATGTTAAAAATATTACCTTTGTACATTTTAAGAAATTATTTTATTTTCACTCAAAATAATGAGGGCTAAGAGACAGGCAAGAGATAAATTCCCAAGCAAATTTAAATTTGTAGCCATTTCCTTTCAGATTTACTTTGTGCATTGCTAAATAATACATTTGCATTGCTATTACTCGTTCAGCAAGATGTTATTTGTACACTTGCTCTTTGGGGAAATGAAGCAGCTTTTTAAATATTTTATCTCATTTTCCACAATAAAGTCACATTAAAATTTATTAAATTAATACCCAGAGCTTATTACATATACACAAGTCTATGTACACACACACACACACACACATTCATTGTTCAGCCATCTACTCTGTGACACTCACTTCCTTGAGCAGTGCTTTTTTAAAGCTATGTCCCTGTTCATTCATTTAGTACAAACCACTTATATTTCTGATATTTCAGGAGTTGAGTCAAACACGAGGCCTATCAACACTACTTTAGAGATGCCCTAAGTCGTCAAATAATGAATGAATGGATTTGTGCTTCCCCTGAATCTTCCCTCTTTTTGACTGGGTGATTCCTACAAAGCTGAAGCCCTTGAATCTCTCTTCCATTCTCTCCAGTTAGATCTATTTCTTTGGCCTTGTCCCCTACTTGCTTTCTAAGAAAGGGCAGGGCGGTGTTTGTATGCAGGCGGAATTCGTACCCTTCTCTCTGAATACTGATGGTGTGGCTCCATTTTCCTGTACAATGCAGAAGTGCACTGAGAAATCCAAGATTCTTACTCCCAGACCTTCCTTTGTGTCCTGTACGGCCTCTCTGGACGCGTTCGGAATCACCCTTTCATCCATGAGCGCCGGTCTTCCTCAACCCCTTGTTCTGATTACTTGGTCACTGCACCTGTCAATCTTTAGTCCTAGGAACTGTTCTACAAGTATTTCTTCAAAATCTTCTCTGTGTCATTTTCCCCTATGTTCCATTTCCAGAACACTATTACTCTAGCAGAACTGATATTTAATTTGAAACTGACTCTGGGCCACATCATCTTTTAATCTAAGGATTTTCGGTGTGTATGTCTGTGTGTGTGTATGTGTGTGGTATGTGTGTGTATGTGTGTGTGTTCTGTGTGTGTACTGACTCATCCAATCCTCTTCCAACCCTGTGAGGTAGGTAGCATATTCTCACTTTATAGCATATAGTAAAACCAGGATGCAACTCAAGAAGTCTGGCTCCAGAACCATCAACCACAGGCAATTTTGCCGATTGGACCAACTCACTAAGCTTGCCCTCTGTATTTCTGGTGTGCAAAATCACTTCCTAATCATTTTCTACCTTTTCCTTATCTTTCTGCACTATTTTCTCACCCCATTAGATATTAAATGTATGCTTGTAGAAAAGACACTTCCTTTAAGTCTTTTTATTTATAAATTTACACATACGTATCAGGGTTGTAAAATGTTACGTATTTCCAGCCCTATGAAGGGCTGCCATCACAGGATTAGGAAAGTAACTCTCCCTAGTACTCCACAAGCACTCGCTGCCGTCACTACCACATCAGCACCACCGCTACCTAATTACCACAAAACCAGGTGACCCAGTAGTGTCACCATTTCTTGGTCAAGGGAGAATGAATGCAAGTTTATTTAGCTGGGTCAAGTTGTCCCCTGCTCCAAGATGAGTGGACTTGTGTCTGGAAATGAGGGTTCTATACTCTCCTTCCTGCAGTTGAACTGGCAAAGTATGAGACCTGCATCACTTTAGAAGTATCAGTTATGTGCTGTCCTTTCTACAGCGTGATCAATGATGAGAAAAATGAGAAGTGAGATACTTCTACTGGCAATGGGGTAACATACAGAATTCTCATTTCCCACAATAAAGTCACATTAAAATTTATTAAACTAATACTCAGGACTTATTACATATACACACGTCTATGTACAAACACACACACACACACATTCATTGCTCAGCCGTCTACTCTGTGACACTCACTTCCTTGAGCAGTGCTTTTTTAAAGCTATGTCCCTGTTCATTCATTTAGTACATGCCACTTATACTTCCGGTATTTCAAGCGTTGTGTCAAACACGAGGCCTATCAACATTACTTTAGAGATGTCCTCAGTTGTCAAATAATGAATGGACTTACTCAGAACAAACACCTGGCTTGTGAATTTTTCATACATTTCTCCACTACTCAATCTTGCCATCCTCCTGTCTTCATCAACTCATTCAGGCAGAACAGTGTTCCAGGGACTCAACAAAAGCTCAAGAAGCACTTCAAATATCAACCGGCAGCACTAAAATTCATAAGCTGAACTTCCCCGATAGCACCCCCCGATAGCACCACCGCTGCTCTGCGCTTTTGCTAGTCTTCACACCCACTGTTAGCTTCCTATTTTTACCACATTCGTCTTATCTCCAGGGTGGAAGACAGACTGCTGCCACAATTCGAATCTCTGGGGATTACATCCTCCTGAATATGAGGATTTGTGACAGGATGTATGACAGCATTCCGTAAGCACAGGATGCCAAATTGCGAACACTTCCTCCTTCCTTACTGGCTTTGAGGAAGCTGCAGAGCCGTGACAGGTTTGTGTGCTGTTAGAAACAGTCTGCAGAGAGGGAAAATGCAATGCTGGGGAAGGGATGGTACTGCATGAACAAACCTGGATGAGAACTACCTACAGAGAAGGACGAGTAGTAAACAACCAAAGGCAGTCTTCAGCTGACACCAGAGAGAATTCAGTGACCTGGAAGGTGCAGAATTCTGTAATAATCATGAGGCAGTAGCTCCTCCGCATCTCAGTTTCTGATAAGACCTGGGCCCTCACCAACATCCCAGTTTGAGGACTGCAAAAGACACAACTAAATTGTGGCAGGACAACTGACCCACAAAAACTGTGAGGTAGTCAGGTGCTGGTGGCTCAGGCCTGTCATCCTAGCTGCTCAGGAGGCTGAGATGTGAGGATCACGGTTCAAAGCCAGCCAGGGCAGGAAAGTCCGAGAGACTCTGGATCTCCACTTAACTACCAGAAAAACCGGAAGTGGCTCAAGTGGTGGAGCTGAGGGACAGCGCCCAGGCCTAGAGTTCAAGTCCCATGACTGACCAAAAAAAAAAAAAAAAGAAAGAAACTGTGAGGCAATAGAGAAGGTAGAGTCTCTGCCTGGACAAGCCAAAGCCCTCAGTTCAAATCCCAGTCGTCCCCCATCCCTATCTCTCTCTCTATATATATATAAGTTTATCCTCACTAAAGTAATAATGTAACTGGTTGGACAGCAGTAGACAGGTGAAAAATCAGCGCGGCTCTCAGCTGCTATGGTTCATGTGATAGAACAGTGCGGGGCTGGGTTACTCAGTGGGAAAGAGTTTGTCAAGCAAGCTTGGTCCCCTCTTACAGTGCTTCTCACTCTCGCCCACCTGCCATTCTGCCGCGTGCTGCTGCACTGAACCACTCTTACCAGATGCATTCCCTCCATCTTGGATGTTCCAGCCTCCAAACCAGGTGTGGAATAAATTTTGTTGCTTATAATTTGCCTCATCTGTGGTGTTCTGTTACCGCAGTCATAAATTAACTACAACATCTGCTTAGCAAGTACAAAAAAAAAAAAAATGCTTCCTGAGCCCCACCTACTAAGAGCCGAGGAACAATACATTCTAGACACTGAGGATACAGTAATGACTGAGACTCAGGCAGGCCTTGCTCATATCGGACAACAGTAAAACGATGGGCTATCCCACCAAAGACTGAATGGAGGGAGAAAGGAAGATGCGAGGTGGAGAGTCATCTTAGAGGAAACAGCAACGTGAGCCCGGACGCAGAAGCCTGGCCAGGGCAAGGAACAGAGAGACTCTTAGAGGATAAGTCACGTCGGGCCTTAGAGAAACCTGTCATCCGTGGGGCAGAAGGTCTGTAAAGCATTATATTAGTAGGGAATGGTATGAGCTGATGTACATTATTTTAAAGATCACTAGGTGTAGAAAACACAATAATGAGACCACTTAGGGTGAGAGGTGTTAAGTAGTGAGGTATATTTTAAAGGTATAGCAAGCAGTATTTTCAAAGTGCAAATGCAGATTAAGAATAAAAGATGACCTCTAAGTATATGGCAATAGTAACGACATGAATTCTGGTGCCATATACCTTACAGAGGAAAATGAAAAAGGAGGAAAAACAGACTTGTTGGGATGACAATTCAGGAAGTTCTATTCAGCCATACTACATCCAATGTTTACACTCATATAGAGATGTGGAGTAAGTAACTTGGTATACAAGTTTGAAACTCACGAGAAAAACTAACTCTGGAGTTCAACATCTGACCATTAATGTGTGGATGATTTTCAGACATGTGAGGCAGCTCCAGAATGCACGGCGGCACTTAAGAAAGGCCCAAGAGACTGAGCCAAACCAGACTCTGAGGCAGAAGACGAGGAGAGTGTAGAGTAAGTCAGCCAGAGAAGGAGCCGTGAGAAATCCAAGGCACAGCACTGCTAAGAGGTCACGTAGAGGAACACCGAGAAACAACACCTGATTCCGAAGAAGCCAGTCACTAGTGATTTGGACAGGATAACTGGCAGTAAAGAAGTACGAACTGGAAAGATACCAACAAAGAATGTGAAAAAAAGATGTAAAGGCAATAAAAATAAGACTATCCTACAAAAGGACCGGAAGAAACAGTACAATGGACTGGGGAGAGGAGTTGGTGAATGAGTCAGAAAAGGAATTCTTTTCGAATTTTTATTTTAGGATGAGCAGTATCGAGAAATGCTTGTGTGCTGTTGGAAAACAGAAAAGGGGGAATTAATGCTGGGAAGAAGGCTGGCACTGTTACAGTTCTTTTCTCTTCTTATTCCCCTAGACCAGGACTCAAGCTCGGTATGTGATGCTTGCTTCCGCTCATCAGCTGGCACTCTACACCTGAGCCATGTCTCCAACCCAAGAAAAAGGTTCCTGAACACACAAAAACAGAATGTATTGTACGTACAGAGCTTAAGCTGTAGAAACAAGGAACAGGTGATCCACACCAAGGGTAGAGTATATAAACGAGTGCTTACAGGAAATAACGAATTAGGGAAAGCCACTTGGAATGTTTACCACATATATATTTTTTTAAAGACCAAATGCAAATTCGGTATTCCTTCCAAGATAGAAATACAAGGCTCATATAAGCTTAGAAACAAATCTAAACCTACATACTTGCACATCAGGCAGAGACTTGTTTAGTTTTTGCTGCTGTTTAAAGTTCTTCTCAGTAGAGCGGTACCCACCTGGACTCTCCACTCTCTTATAGTGGTACGGGTTGATACAAACTTCTTTCTGCTTAGACCCAAAAGGAAATTCACAAGTATCCAAGGGCTTCAGCTCGTGGTGGCTCTGCAGATCGGGCCAGCGCCACACCCGGCAGTATATGACGTGGGGTAAGCCTTTTCTGTGAGACACTTGCAGGCGTCCGTCCAGAGACCGAGGGATGGTGACGCACTTGCTCGGCTGTCCCGGGCTGCTCAAGGCTTTCTCCAGCTCCTCCATGGCGCCCTTTTTCTTCTTCAGCTTCTTCACCAAAGCGTCGACTGCCTTTTCTGCCCATTTCTCCTCCTCATCGCCTTGCTTCCAGCCCAACAACCGCTTCACTGCTGGACTAGTAAAAGAAAACAAGCTGGCCATTGACGTCATTTGATATGAATCTTCAGAGACCTGCCTGTAATCAAAGTCAGCAGCCACTAAAAGGACAAATCTCGGGCTGAGCGTCGCATACGCGTCCTAAGAGGAGGTTCCAATTAAAGAGGGAAGCTGACATTTATCTTCACAAGGGCCACAGGCTTCTCTCATGGGTTCAAGTCCTGAAAGAGAAATTAAGCCAATTACATTCACATACATTTAAATCAATGCAACTGAAACTATACTATTCACGGATAAGAGCAGAAAAATCAGTTCGAAGTAAAAAAAAAAAAAATGAAATGTTCTCTACAAGTTCCGTGACCCCTCACTTCCTTCTTAACACAAAAGAATTCACTGGCAACGCCAAATGGTAACCAAAACCAGTCTTCTAGAATTTGATTCTGAAATTCTTTCTTTCGTTGAGATTCATGTAGCATGCCACATCAGTTCTGAACATAGTATATCCTCCTCACAGGATCATAGCTTTTTCCTAAAGTCATTATTCTTTTAAAAACGTTTCACAGCCGGGCACCGGTGGCTCACGCCTGTCACCCTAGCTACTCAGGAGGCTGAGATCTGAGGATCACGGTTCAAAGCCAACCCAGGCAGGAAAGTCCATGAGACTCTTATCTCCAATAAACCACTAGAAAACCAGAAGTGGCGCTGTGGCTTGAGCGGTAGAGCGCTCGCCTTGAGCTGAAGAGCTGAGGGACAGCGCCCAGGCCCAGAGTTCAAGCCCCATGACTGACAAAAAAAAAAAAAAAGTTTCATAGACTTACATGGTTAGAGCAAGTCATGACACTATTCAAGTCACATTATTGCAATTATATTAAAACTGACATATGACAGAAAAAAATCTTAATTTTGTTAAAAGAATGCTGAATAGATTTTAAAAGAATTAGTATAAAATTCAACCTCCAAAAGGTTAGCTTATATTTTCTACTGTCTATCGGATTCTGTGCATTTCCACAGAGTGCTTCATGAAGACACTCCAGACAGACAGACGGATGGCTATTCTACAGCACGGCGCTCGGGGCAGCCACGAGGGAATTTTATGCATGTCTTGGCCTCCATTGCCCAGAGATGGCGCAATCCCTGCAGTTTCCTCCCCAGCCAACTACACGTATCAAGCACCTAGACCGCAGGAACAGTGTCTAGAAAGGCAGTGTCCAGAACAAAAGATGAATTATTTTACCAAGACATTTTGTCTCTGACAAATTCTGGCAAATTCTAAACCATGACTATTGTAGATTGGGGGGACAGAGTTCCAGGAGAGAATAAATATGCTCTGGTAGAACCCGGGCAGAAATAGTTACTCAAGACATTATTAACTTATTCTAGGCCACAGGCTGCGCACAGCCATGGCGGGGCTTTCAAAAATGATACACCAAAGAGGCTTCGTCTCCAACGCTCACAGCTCTACGCACTCGGCATACGCCTGAGATCCTACAGCGGGCAGGGCAGGCCACGGACTGCTCTGGATGCTGACCAGTGACTGGCTCTCCGGTCTCTATGCTGGTAGGATGGAAGAAAGACGCAGGAAAGTGGGAATCTACTCCCCTTCCATTTGGATGGAGACCACTCTGGTTTACCCAATCCCTACACAGCACGACTTTTGCCAAGCAAGCAAAACTAGCTATGTTAGACTAGAAACACCACAAGAGAACCAACAGGTCAAAGAGTATAAGGTGTTTTGTGCTAAAGGAACTGTAGCTGACCTCAGCTGAAGCTACATCAAGGAGGTAGAAAAAAAAAAAATCGACCCTGTTTCAGATGAGAAGGGAAGTTTCAAAGGCAAATGATAGGAGTAAAAATACATGCTCAGCAAAGCAAACAATTACCAGAGCAGAGAGACAGCCTCAAGAAGGGGAGCAAATCTGCGCTAGCATCCATCCAACCGGGGATCCGTACCCAGAATGAGTAATGAACTCCAAGAAACCAAACACCAAGTGAACAAACGGCATCGTCAATAGATGAAATCATAAACTGGACAATTTTCAAACCAAGAAGCACAAATGGCCAATAAAAACATTTTAGAAATATCCGACGTCTTCAGTCATCAGGAAATGAAAACGACCACCATGCTGGGCTCCCATCTCCTCTCCGTCACGACGGCCAACACCAAGCACAAAAGCAACAGATGGTGGTGAGAACGGCAGTGGAGAGAGAACCTTGCACACTGGTGGCGCACGCGCGTGTGCAGATGCTACAGGAGGTGTGTGTGGAGGTTCTCCAAATTCAGAAACAAAACTACCTTATGATCCACTCATACCACTCCTGGGCCTATACACACCCCAAAGGAGTCAAAGGCAGATACACTGAACACACCTGAACACCCAGGTTTATCAGCCAAGTTAGAGAATCAGCCCAGGTGGTCCATCAACAGGTGAATAGAGAAAATGCAGTATGTATATATAACGGAACCATAAAAGGAAAATGAAATTAATCTGGGTGCCAGGGACTCATGCCTGTCAATCTTAGCTAATTGGGGGATGAATGAGGATGGTTGTTCTAGACTAGCCTCACGCCCCCTCTCCCCAACAGCTGGGGCTGTGGTCCATACCTGTCACACCAGGTACACAGGACACGAAGATGAAAAGCTAAGGCTGTCAACTAGGCATGGCGACTGCACACTGTCAGCCCAGCTGTGCAGGGAGCACAAATGGGAGGATCACATTCAAACCTGCCTGAGTGGAAAAAGTGAGACCCTATCTCAAAGCCCAAAGGGCCGGGGCATAGCTTCACCACTAGAGCACCTGCTTAGCAAGCACAAAGCGAGTTCTAACCACCAGACTGCCAAAAAGTAAAATAAAATAAAATAGAGATGAAATTATGTAGCGTGCAAGAAAATGGGTAGAACTAGAGATCGTTAAGAAAAAGAAACTAGACTCACAAGGACAATTATCTTGTCTCATACGCAGAATCTAGATTTAATGGGAAGAGGGGGGAGACATGCAAGTAGAGAGAGGGAAGAACAGAAAATGGGGACCCGTAGGATGAAAGAGAAAAAAATGGGTGGAGGTGAACGTGATTATAATGAAATCCACTGTTTTATACAATACAGATGAGGGTAGAATGCCCTCAGAGGCAACCCCTTCGTATGCTTTGACCACCCTTCCACAGAAACTACCCGCCCATCTATCCTTTCTACAGAAGAGCTAGATTGTATTACTGTATCTTCAAGATTTCTCCGCATCAATATACAACAAAGACCTTGCACATTTAACTAATCCAACTTTTTTTTAAAAAAAGTCACATTATTCCTGTTTAACAATCACCTATTTAGTAGCTTCTCAAAAATCCAGTCTTTACATTTTTTTTTGCACTCAAATCCAGAGTCTTTACATTATTTCATAGGCTCTACTTGCCTGGCTTCTTCATCTAAACTCATAATTTTTCTAGCTAACTGCATTTAACTACACTTGGCCTTTTCCTGTTTCTCAAATATTCTAAGATTAATTCTATTTCCTGGCCTTTTCTTTTAGAGTGTGTGTGTGTGTTACATCAGTCAGGTAATCAGTACATGTGTGTGTAGCTGTAAAGGTGATGTACACAGGGGTGACTGTGTGTGTGTATAACTGTAAAGGTGATGTACGCAGGGGTGACTGTGTGTGTGTGTGTAGCTGTAAAGGTGATGGACGCAGGGGTGACAGTGTGTGTGTGTGTACCTGTAAAGGTGATGTACGCAGGGGTGACGGTTACTTCAGTCAGGTAATCAGTGCACTTCTTTCTGAGCAGTGTCACCCCTTCCCTCGCTCTCTCCCAGTTTCTCCCTCCTGTCCCCACCCACAAGTTGTATACTTTCATGCTCAACATAGTGTATCGTATCACTGCTGCATCTGTTCACCCTTTGTCCCTCCATTTCTGTGCTCACCCTTACCCTCCTTTAAAAACAAGACAAAAGGTACAGAAAACAACAAAGGGTGAAAAAAAAAATCTTGTTTCCATTTCTTGGAGTTCACTTCAATAAATACTATTTTATATGATTATATGCACACAGTATTGAGCCTTTGTGATCCTCTCCTACAAATATCCTCCTCTGGTCTCCCTGTGTGCCTAGAGACCTTACCATTTATCATGTCCCAGGGTATTTTTTTGTCCTTTATCATCCAGTTGTTTACTTGTAGATTTGTAGGAAACTATACAACCTATGTTTCTTTGGGTCTGGATTACTAAGCTTAATATAATTTCTTCCAGGTCTTTCTAATGACCCAGTAATTCCACTCGTGGGCAATAGACCACAAACCAGGCCACACTAAAGCTACCAGCATAATCATGTTCATTGCAGCACTGTTTACATAGCCAAGACACAGAATCAACCTGAATGGATCAAGAAAATGTGGTACATACACAGAGTGGAATTCTACTCCTCCATCAGAAAGAATGATAATGTCCCGTTTCCAAGGAAACGGAAAGACATGGCCTTTGTTCCTGATCTTAACACAGCTACCTTTAACTACACAGGCTACACAGTGAGACCTCCCCTCAAAAAACATAATAATTCACCGTAAACAGATAGTATCTGGATGGAAACGTTTCACAAAAGATATCAAAGTAGCTATTAAATGGGAAAATGGACTCCACGGGGAGGAAAACTGAGCCAGTTCAATCTACTTCTTTCTTAGTAATCGCAAGCACGCTGTTCTTTTTCCCCACATGCCAACACAGGCAGCACCATACACAGCCGCAGTGCGATCAATCAGCTGAGCAACAAGGTAGAGGCCACAGGGTAGAAGAGCCAGTCCGTCAACAAACTGAATGGTGTGGCTCTGCGGCTTCTCTGATGGTGACAGGCCAGGGCAGGGCAGGCCTGGCCGCCCGCAGGCTTGCCCCAGGGCCTGTGTGGAGCAGCACAGACATGCAGGGACATTCTTGTCATCACACAGCCACAGAAGGTGCAGCGGCAGCTATTCCAATGAACTCGGAGACACCTGTGGAGAATGGGGTGCCTGTGCTGACTTCCTTCTGAAGCTGCTCCCAGGGACAAGGTTCCAGTTTCTTGCTGAGAGGAGCACCACAGGGAGATGGATGGGCCTCTGAATTTACACCAGCCCCGGTCAGGGCTGCGGCCCAGCATGCTTACCACTCCTCCAGAGCAAGCTATTTTTTATGGTAGTCAAAACCAAGGCTTAACAGAAATCCTTTTTATGTTTTTTGCAGATGTTAGGGAGGGGGAAAACCTTAGATACAAACGCTGTGTCAAACGAAAGCACGCCACACTTATCAAATTATTTCATAAAAAAATTAAGTCTAGCCAGGCACTGGTGGCTCACGCCTGTCATCCTAGCTACTCAGGGGGCTGAGATCTGAGAATCACAGTTCAAAGCCAGCCGCCAAGTCCGTGAGACTCTTACCTCCAATTTTTAAAAAGGCACTAGAAAACCGGAAGTGGTGCTGTGGCTCAAGCAGTAGAGTGCTCGCCTTGAGCTGAAGAGCACAGGGACAGTGCCCAAGCCCAGAGTTCAAGGTCCACAACTGACAAAAAAAAAAAACAAAACTGT